GAGCATTAAGATCTTTCAAACATTGTGATTATAAATCACAGTTGGCAAGTGTTGTGAAGGTTTATAAATTTACTTTTCTCTATCGTAAGTGTTGCTAATTTTCTTAGCAACTGGCATTAGAACTTCAAGTATCTTCAGAATAACATGTCCTATGAAACTGTGAATGGGGGTTCAGAAGACACATGGATATATGTGCTCCAATGCCACATACGGCACCATTCAGTTAGAGACAATCTAGAAAGTCACCATTCCAGTGAACTAAAAGATAGTGTTACTACTCTACCTAAAGTGACTGAGAAATGCAATTTAACTGGTATGATAAACCTTTTAAATGTCATTTTCTTTTCTATAATAAATACTATAGAACTAATCTAGTGTGAAATTAGATCATCTCCTTCAGCAAAAAAAAAAAAAAATCATGAAGAAAGATTAAGTATTTGCAAGCTCTTACTGTATATAAAGATAAAATTCAAGATGTTATACCTTCACTTTCCTATTTTTATAAGCATCAATAAATACTAACCTCAGCCCAGTATGCAATAACCTATGAATTTTTATTTATCAAAAGTAACCTTTAATATAATACTACCTTGTTTTAAGATTACAGAACTCAAAGATATGAATTTGGTTTTCACTAACAGAGTATTACACTAAATAAGAAGTGTGTTCACCACACCGACTTGGACAATCAGGCAAAGTAGGGTTTTAGTACTGATGCATAAATTTGCTTTGTGTTTACTATGATTATACCACTTTGACTTTGAGTAAGGTTTTAAGCTACTAATTCCACATTCTTCATTTAGGTTAAATTTAGATAGGCATTTTGGAAACTAATTTGTAAGTAAAACAAAAAAGGAAAATTAATGTTTTACCAATCAACTTCTCTAGCTATTATAAATTCAGAATTGGGGAACTTACCTGTGACTCTCAGCAAGTCACTCAGCCATTCTTTGTCAAAATATGTTACAAATGTTTGGAAATCTTATGGCTTTACAAAATGCTGTGCAACCTTTGAGTATTGTGCAACTGCCAATGAGAACTTTTGAAGAGCAAAATCCAACTGTGCTGTGTATAAAATGTTGGTTACTGCTGTAGTAGGTTGAGAAATAATAGTTGTTTTATACATCTTATATATTTGACCTTTTAAATCTTATTTTTATAATTAAATGTTTAGTTCCTAGGATGATTAAAATGGTAAGACCTTTAAGAGAAAACTTTAATGAAAAGGAAGTTATTACCAATACCACAGAAATCTCAAGAATTATAAGAGAATTCTATGAAAAATTATATGCCAAAAAATTGTACAGTGTAGAAGAAATGGATAAATTCCTAGAAACATACAATCTTCCAAGACTGACTCAGGAAGAAACAGCAAATCTAAAGAGATCAATTACTAGTAATGAAATTGAACTGGTAATAAAAAAGTCCCAACAAATACAAGTTGAGAACCAGATGGTTTCACAGCTGAATTTCACCAAACATTTAAAGATGGGCTAATACCTATCCTTTTTAAAGTATTCCAAAAAAAGAAGAGGAGAGAATACTTCCAAACTCATTCTACAAGGCCAGTATTACTCTAATAACAAAAACCACACCAAGATTACAAAAAAAAAGAAAACTACAGACCAAAATCGCTGATGAACACAGACACAAAACTCCTCAAAAAAATATTAGCGAATCAAATTCAAAAATACATCAAAAAAATCATTCATCACTACCAAGTAGGATTTATTCCAGAGATACAGGGAAGGTAGAATATTGGCAAATCAATCAATGTGATACATCACATTAACAAAAGGAAGGATAAAAACCATATGATCATCTCAATAGATGCTGAACAGCATCTGACAAAATCCAACATCCATTCATGATAAAAACTCTCAACAAAGTGGGTACAGAGATAACATAACTCACCATAATAATAAAGGCCATATATGAAAAACCCACAGTTAACATCATACTCAATGGTAAAAAGCTAAAAGCTTTTCCTCTAAGATCAAGAATAAGACAAGGATGCCTACTCTCACCACTTTTATTCAACATAGTACTGGAAGTCCTAGCCACAGTAATGAGACAAGAAAAAGTCATCCAAATCGGAAAACTGTCATTATATGCAGATGACATGATACCCCTAGAGACTCCACCAAAAAACTATTAGAATTCATAACTGGACTCAGCAAAGTTTCAGGATACAAAATTAATACATAGAAATTTGTTGTATTCCTATATTCTAACAATGAACAAGCAGAAAGAGAAACCAGGAAAATAATTCCATTTACAATTGAATCAAAAAGAATGAAATACCTAGGAATAAACCTAACCAAGGAGGTGAAAGACCTGTACTCTGAAAACTGTAGCACACCAATGAAAGAAATTGAAGACACAAATAAATGGAGATCTATCCCATGCTCATGGATAGGAAGAATTAATATTGTCCAAATGGCTGTCTTGCCCAAAAGCAATTTACAGATTCAATGCAATCCCTAACAAAATACCAACAGAATTTTTTGATGAAATACAGCAAATAATCCTAAAATTTATATAGAACTACAAGACCCCAAATAGCCAAAGCAATCTTGAGAAAGAAGAAAAACTCCCTCACTTCAAGCTATACCACAAGGCTCCAGTGATTAAAACAATATGGTACAGGCACAAGAACAGACCCATAGATTAGTGGAACGGAATAGAGTTCAGAAATAGACCCATGCATATATCATCAATTAATACATGACAAAGGAGCTGTGAATATACAATGGGGAAAAGACAGTCTCTTCAATAAAATGGTGATGGGAAAACTGAAGTTACATATAAAAGAACTAAACTAGATCACTGTCTTATACCACACACAAAAGTCAACTCTAAATGGATTAAAGACCTAAATGTAAGAAATGAAACTATAAAATTCTTAGAAGAAAACATAGGCAAGAATCTCATGAACATCAGCATGAGAATCTTTCTGGAAACATCTCCCCAGGCAAAGGAAACAAAAGCAAAAATAAACAAGTGGGACTACATCAAACAAAACAGCTTCTGCACAGCAAATGAAACCCTAAACAAAACAAAAAGGCAACCTGTCATATGGGAGAATATATTTGCAAAAGGCAACCTACCATATGGGAGAATATATTTGCAAATTATATATATAACAAAGGGGCTAACATACAAAATATATAAAGGACTTATACAACTCAAAACCAAAAACCCAAATAATCTGATTAGAAAATGGGCAGAGGACCTGTACAGGCAGTTTTCCAAAGAAAATATACAGTTGGCCAATGGACATGAAAGATGCTCAACATCACTAAACCGTTAGGGAAATGCACATCAAAACCACAATGAGATACCATCTCACACCAGTGAGAATGGCTACTATACAAAGGTGAGAAACAACAAGTGTTGGTGAGGATGTGAGGAAAAGGGAACCTTCCTACACTGTTGGTGAGAATATAAATGGATAGAGCCACTGTGGAAAGCAGTACAGAGGTTCCTCAAAAAACTAAAAATAGAAATACCATACAACCGAGCAATTCCACTTCTGGGAATTTACCCAAAGAAAACAAAATCTTGAATTCAAAAAGATGCCTGTACACCTATGTTCACTGCAGCATTATTTACAATAGCTGAGATATGGAAGCAACCCAAGTGCCCATCAACAAATAAATGAATAAAGAAGATGTGGTACATATACACAATGGAATACTACTCAGCCATAAAAAGAAGGAAATCTTGCCATTTGTGACAACATGGATAGACCTAGAAGATGTCATGCTAAGTGAAATAGGCCAGGCATAGAAACACAAATACTGTATATGATTTCACTAATATGTGTAATCTAAAAAACAAAACAAATAAACAAAAAAAGAAATAGGCCCACAAATACAGACAACAGACTGATGGTTACTATAGGAAGGAGAGTGGGAAGATGAGTAAAAGAGATGAACAGGAAAAGAGGTACAAACTGCAAACTATATAATAAGTTAGTCCTAGAAATGTAAGTACAACATAGAGAATATAACCAATAACACTGTCATATCTTGGTATGGTAACAGGGTAACTACACTTATCTTGGCCAGCATATAGTACTATATATAAATATCAAGTCACTATGTTGTACATATGAAACCAATACAGTACTGTATAAAAACTTTATTCCAATAAAAAAATGAAATAGGAAACCATATTAAAAAAAGTAATACAGTAATACAAAACTGTCTTGATTACATTAGGTTTATACTTTTGATTGCTCAGCTGTTTAAAACAACTGTATTTTTATATACATACATATTTCCAATTAAAAAAGTTCTTATCTGGGAACTTTCTTATCACCACTAAGACTGTCAAACATTTTGATGGGCAGTTTATGATGCATATATATATATATATAATACTAGTTATTTTTTAAAAGAGTAAAGTAAATAAACATGGCTATCTAAGGAACTAAAAACAGTAAACAAATATAAATAAGTAATTATGTAAATTGGTTTTGAAATATTCTACTGTCTAAAAATATAATTATATGACATAGAAGCTTCAGTTATCACTTCTCTGTTACCTGGTAGGAGTCTCAAACACCACTTACAAAGAGATATCTTATAAACTGATAATCTAATTACTATAAAAATTTCATCTATATTCACTCTTAGAGTATAACTGCATTACTATTAAAAACACCTGATTCTAAATTCATCTATTTAACTTTAAAAGTCCTTCATATTAGTAATACATTATTATAGATATAGTCTTATTATGAATTTAATTATAGAACTCTAATGACCTCATTTTACTTTGTAGCAATTTATGTATGTCCGAATATTTTCATTTCTCACAAGTAATAGAATTACAAGTAAGAGAGTCGTTACTAAAAATTCAAATAGAACTTTCTGGTCAGTTTTTACGGCTTAATGTCATAGGAAAAAAAGAAAATGAAGAAAATTGTAACCATCTTATGTAAAAACTATTTTTTGTTTTGGCTCAGATATGGGAGAAGGGAGTCACTCTACCTCACAAAGCAGTAAGTCAATGATGTGGAAGACCATGCAGAGTGGGAACTTGGCAGTGAAAAGAGTAAGAAACCACTGCGATGCATACATATGAGCTTCCAGGTTCAGATCACAAAAATGGTTGTGCAGGTCCGGTAACTGCTCCTGAAAGTCAAAGTGGAAAATTGAGGGGAAGGAACACTGGAGAAACTTTATTTCCTGCCACATCTGCAATTTATGACAAGCTTTCTATGATTGCTCTCAATTTATGACAGCATTTATTGGATTTTACATAACTACATAAAAGTGATGGCAGGAGATGAGAACTGGGGATATGACAGATAATCAAGGAAAATGAAGACAGACTTGTTTTGAACAAGTGACAAAGATCATCTCTTGCTCACTTGACTATTCTTGTTTCTTGGGAAATGCTTGCCATGACAGAATATCTGCCGTCTAATGAACATCATCATCCCTCCAGGGTCAAGTCACAGCAACACCATTTTGGGTCGAACTACTAACTAGCTAGAAAAGAAATGTATCTTCTCCTTGGGGACCATTTAACATCAACATCATCTGGATTCTATAATATCACTTCAGCATATTTTGGGGGTACTTAGAAAAGCCCAAAATATAATGAAACTTTTAAAAATCTAATTTTGACAAATTAAGGATGGCAAAATACAAAAATGGTTCAAGTGTTTATTATATGAAATTAGATGTCTCCTCAAATTGCCTTATGTGAAGCTTTATCTTTTTACCTGTTACACAAGTAAATTTTTTTCAAAAGCATGAAAGGCATACAAAACATTGGCATAGCTATTCCCAAACTGAAAGAACAAAGTAAAAATTTTTTAAAGTTCACTTAAGCTTTATTTTCATAAACAGACCACAAAAACAAAAACCCAAGTCTTGAAAAACACCCAAATGTGCCCATCAGGTACTTTAATGGAGTGTCCTAACGGCCATCCAGTCAACACACTAAAAATGCTAACAGAAAAGTACGTTTGGGTTTCTTCACAGTACCATGAACTTGATATTCATTCATTAGGTACATTTTTTGACTCTAAAAGGTCTTAAGAACACTCACCTTAAAGAAACTATGAACTTTTATAAATTAAAGGTCAATGAAAGGCTAAAAGTGAACAATCCCAAATATTTACTTGGAAGAATTATATCTATAAAAAAGAGCCTACTGCTTCTAATGTCCATAGTCGCCAGATTCTTTTAGTCTTTTTTCCCCTTAATAGCCATTTGTCCTCTACTTACAGTTCATTTGGCATTGTTCCCCCACTTTATTTCTTCTTTATATTTAAAGTTGGCTACTCGCCTACATTCCCTTCTCCCAGTAAAGCTGTCCTCCATTTCACTGCAAATTCTGTTTTCCACCCACATTCAAGTCTTTCAGTCTCCTAGTGACTCCACTTCCCTCTTTAGACATCTATGGATCTGCTGATAGGTCATGTCACTGAGCTCTTACCAGTATCTTCTACTGCCATATCCCACTAATCTTCCTCCCCAAGCACTTTACTTTTCCTCAATATGGAATCAACATATTCATATATTTCAGTCACATTTTTCCTGGGTTCTCAGTACCTTATATAGAGAAAGCCATATAAACATGCAGCATAGATCTATTATAAATTTAAGATTTCCAATCTCAGGAGGAATTTCAAAGCTACTCAATAATTCCTTTTTCAGTCAATAATTTTGCCCTTGCTCACAAGCTTATTATGTAATATCTGACATATATATTAAGGAATATATTAAAGAATATGTGTAAAAACTTACACATACATTTTATGAAACAGTAACAACTGAAGTCAGGAAATTATATGGGAAATTTTTAAAAATATGTCCCTACATTACAATATTTTAAGTGTTTTTTAATTCTCTAACCAATAGCCTTCTGTCTCTTCAAAGTGTTCTCCACATGTGAACCTAAATATGGTACTGTTGCTAATTAATATAAAACTCTTAAGAATATCAATTTTTATTCTGTAAATATCTTCATTTCTTTACAAATAATACACAGCAATCTCTTCACTGACATACTATATTAGCTCTTCAAAGTATACTATAGTTGAATACTTGAAATGGAAGACTCTTAAAAATATCCAAATGTTTAAATAAATATTTTATGATAAAGACCAACATAGACAATGGTCAGAAACCAAATCCATTTACATTTTCTGTACAATTTCATTAAACCTTCATAAATCATTACTGTTCATCAATTTTATTAGACTTTTTCCTATAACTTAACAAATCTCTGAGTGATTAAAGTTCCTAGTTCTTATTTACCTGCATTAGTCTCTCCAACTGATAGAATTTGCAATGAAGATCTTCAAAGTTGTTTTTGTAGAGGTCTCGTAAACCATAGTCATACATGATTTTCACCAAAACACAGAATGCTTGTTCCTCTGGCATCTAAAGGAAAACAAATGCATATAGAACATGACCAAGTGGCCTTTGCCCAGCATGTCAGAAAAGTGCCTTTATGTTATTAGGCCTCTGCATTAGTGGTTGAAGATCTCTAGTGAATGAAGTTCTTCAGAGCCAGTCTTCTGCAGTAACATTGGTAAATTTGTGTTCAAAGCTTCCAGCTTCCTCACTTGAGATGAATTTCCCTCTTTTGTTAATTTTAATCATCCTGTTATTCATTCATTAAGCCATATTAAAAATAGGTAATACAGTCATGTCATTAAAAAAGCAAATCCATATTAGAGTATATAAAGGTTAAAGCCTCACTCTTCTCTTCCCTTGTGTGAGTTAATCCCTGCACCTGCCCCCACCTCTTTTGCAGAACCTTATAATTACTCAATAATTCTTCATGTATCCTGCCAGGGTTTTGTTATGCAAATAAAAGGATTACATTTCTTGTTTTAATTTTCCCACTTGTTATATAAAAGATAGCATTATATATACACTGCTACACATCTGGCTTTTTTTTTTCTCAATAATATTCCCCAAAGAGGGATTGCTGGGTCAAAGGGCTAAAAAGGTCTTCTTGATGTTATATTTCTTTCTATAAAAAACAGCTTTCAGGAAAGAATCTTAGGAGATTCCATCATTAAGATTCATGTAACAAAGTCTAATAACTTTCCCAGAGATATTTTTATCTGAACAGAGAATGAAGTTTGAAATCAAAGAAACAAATCTCTAAATTTTGGTACAATAAGCTGAAAGACTTTAGTGAGGGACATATCCAGTACACCAGAAATTACACTAAGAAAACAGAAAAAGTTGTCCTTACTCAATGTCCTAGGATGAAACGATTATGTAAACATTTACTTTAAATGTCACTTCTTTCAAAGTCTGATCTTGGCTGATTATGGTATTTGACACTTTTATTAGACTAACTTCCTGTCTGAATAACTGAATCAAGTAGAGTTCTACTTACCCACTTGGAAATATAACTGTTTATTTAAGTGTCTATACAAATAGTCACTTCTATTTTCTACTTATAAACCTTGAAATAATGTAAATTAGTTCAAAAAAACCTCCTAAAGTTAAATAAGTACACTTAGCTGTTACCATTTTGATTCTCTAAATATTTGCTTTTTTGTTTTTTAATCTATCAGTTGTTTGGGGCCTTGGCTTTGACTCTGGCTATTCAACTTATATTCAGCTTATATTCAGTTATTAAGAAATAAGTACACTATATCCTTTACTCCTTTAGCAATTCTGTCATTCAAGAAATATATGCACATTGTAGGAGACCAATAAATGCAAAATTCCCTTCTCTACTTCCTTGAACACAGAGACTATGTACATCAACAGCTACCAGAGTGCTTTATACATAGGTACTCAAAAGAATAAAAAGAATGAATAAGTGCATGGTTAAAATTTCTATGCAATCAAAAAATTACATAAGTAAATTTCTACTCTAAGGCCTCTCTACTGTTAAAATTACTTATAGGAATATATGTTCCTTAAGTACCAGAAATGTTCTACTTTTCATATAAATGACAGCACTTCTAATGCATTACTGAGAAGAATGCCTTCCTTTCAGTTCCCCACTCTTCATAATTTAAATAGTGACAGGCTACACGGTCCAGGCTCCCCTCGGAGTTACAGCAGGCAAGCTCAGGATGGGTAGGGGGTATACTATGTAGCACAGCTGTGCCTTTGAAATTTTATTTATCTTTTAAGATTGATCATAAATGACAATTAGAACATGAAATCTTTCTTATTCCCTTTAACCTGATGCTTTCTCTGAACCCCAAAGCTCTTTGTAGCACATAGTATAGTTATTTGTATGCCCCTACTAACCTCTGGACCCTGTTTTATTTTAACTTTGCATCCCCCAAAGCTCTTAGCATAGAGACTTAAATAAATAGCAAGTACTAAGTATTTAAGATAACCTCTGCAAAACTCTGACTACATCCACCTTTACCAATGAAGGCATGTCAAACAAGTAGAGCAATCCACTGCAACTATAAAGGGAAAAGCCAACAAAATGTAAAAGAAAGAAATTGGTGTGAAAGTGAAAATAAGGGGAAGCCAAATGGAACTATATTCATTTGATTTCTTTTAAAACTATTACAAAGGCTAAATATAAGAAACTTTTGTATTATCTCTATTTTGTATTGGCTATTAAGCTTGCACCTCAATTAGCATAAAAATTCAATTAAGATATGCAGATCAATACCTAGCTGTATTATCAAACCTCACCTTACTGCAAGAATATGCTCCCGCACTAGGCAGTATGGTGACATCTGCCTACATTTTTTTAAAAAGCACTAAAATATTTGACTTATTACAATGACTAATATTTCATTAAATTAAACAATGCAATTTATCATTGATACACAATTGGGCTGAAGTACAAAAATAAAACACTGAACAATGTATTTTTTAAATAAAATACTAAGATGTTGGAACATGGCAGATCTCTAATATTCAATATCCATCTTTGGGGTGTACAAGAGTTTTGACATGGAATCAGTGTTGTTTTACTGGGGAAAGGAGATAAAACATTAAAATCCTAAAAGTTAAGATAACAAATTATCATCCATGGCTCTATGAAATACAAAATTAAATACTTGCCTCAAACACATAATCTGAGAATCAAGCATGATGCAATCACTGTTTGGTAACAAAAGTTGATAACAAAAGTTGATAATCTGCCGTGTGTACTAACTGAATGGAGACAGTCTCCAAGCTTCACTGCAGTGAATCATAAGACAAAGGACTCTAAGTACTGGTCTTCCAGACTCACCTGATGTAACATACATCAAGATATTTTCTGAAGTAAAATTATATGTTGATAATTTAAAATAATCCCCATATTTAGAATAATCAAACAAATTTTCCTATTCTACATGACTGCATTTCACATCTTCTTGTAATCAGTGTACCCTTTTCCATGAAGACAATGAATATTCTGATGATTTTTTTTTGAGTTTTCTTCAACAAAGGTGGACCCTAGTGACTATTTTGAAAATTATAAACTCATGAATCTTCATTTTATGTTTACACACTGAAAAACAAGAAGGAAAACTAGATGTTTATCTTTTAAATCAAATGTATGCTACAATACATTTAACTTGAATGTCTATTTATAAGCCATAAAATACATTGTACAACATGTTAGTTTGCTATGTGTGATCAATTTAACCAGGGCCCAAAAGAAAACTGGCTGGGCAAATTACTAATTTTAGAAGGAAGAGCAGCAGATACCACTATTAGATGAATTCAATCAGAACCCTATTTTAACCATCACAGATAATCCATAAAGTAGGTATTATTTTAACATTTTAAATATTAGACTAGCAAAGTTTAGAGAAGTTAAGTAATTTGCCAATAACTACAAATCTATTGAGTAAAGCCTAGATTCAACCCCATGGCTGCACTCCTTTTGAGCCAGGTACCAAATAAGACTCTACATTCGTAATATAAAGTATCCAATATTCATAAAAACCCTAGGAGGAAGAGGATTTTATTTCCATTTTATAAATAAAAAACTGAAGTTCAGAGAGTTTAGGAAACTTGCCAAAAGTCACATAATTTGAAAGGTATCAGACTACAATTCAAATTCATAGTAGAGCTTTGTATTATCCTTTGAAGGCATTCAGCTTGGAAAGGCCAGAGAAATCTAAGATACAAGTTAAATGGGAGGATCAAAGGAGGTTTTTTTAAATTTAAAATGTCTTGAGTATATTTACTCACAGGGAGAAGATGCTGGGAAATGGCTTAGAAGCGCTGACTCAAGGATGAACCCAGAGCAGGAAAATCTCCTGGATTACAAAGGAAATGGGATTTGGGAGTATAGAAGGACTTATTAAAAAATATACTAAAACTCTCCTAGAACAGACATCAGTATAAGATGATGTGAAGCATCTGTCTAGCATCCTTTCTCCTCATCATCTGATATCAAAACCATTCCCTTGTTCAGGAGCTGATCAACTTCACTGTCAGTACTGAGGTGGACTCAAGACCTCGGTCAGGACAGTCAGACTACACTCCCTTCACAGCCTTAGTAATTGATTCAGGGATGGCAGTTTCCAAGGCAAGCCAGTCAGTCTTCCAGGCACTTCTTTTTTTTTTAATGCAGGAGCTATAAGCAAATGATGGTACCTTTCAATGAAGTTGTGAAACTGAAAGTATGTGAAACCAGGCCAGCCAGCAGCCATGTTGTCCACTTTGTGGCCTGCCCATACAATTATGGCGAGAAAATTTAAGTAGAACAGAGATACAGAGACATTGATGACAAAATATGAGCTCTGGAAATTACCTCTGCCCTGAACTTCCCAGTTATATGAGCCATTAAACTTCCCTTTTCTTTTAAGCTACTCTAAGGTTTGTCACCTGTGGCAGAGTCCTGGCTAATACAATGGCACACCACCTCTGACTTATGCACATGTGAAGACACAAGGCAGCCTCTGCCTTGTCACCTTGATCTCTGTGGAATACTTATTTTCAGGAAAAGTGAGAAGAAGCTCTGCTTCTCATTTCCCAAGCCCATTGCTTAGGTCTTCTCCTAAACCCATCTTTTTTGAGGGGTGCATTAAAGGATAACTTTTAAATTGTATTTTACTTTTAAATACAACTCACAGAAAAATACTTAAAATTAAATATACATTTCAGTGAAAAAAATGACTGAAGAAAAAACAAAAAGCTTTAAGCATTCATGCAGCCACCAGTCAGGTTAAGAAATAGAATACTGTCAGTACTCCCTGAAGATCCCTTAGGTTCCTTCCAAATCAGGACTCCCAGTTTCTACTCAGAGAAATCACTATATGGAATTTAACAGAATCACTCCATTGGTGGTGTATCTGTTATTCCATCTATGTAGCATCCCAAAAATAAGAGTGGTTTTGTCTGTTATTGACCTTTATATTTATACTAAATGAAATCAGAACAAGTGATACCAAATACACTTCATTTTCTTACTAAACCTTGTTTGTCTGATTCATTCACATAAA